ATGATGAACAGTGGGCACTTCCTAGAAAACTCCATGCATTTGCATATGCCATTCCCTCTGCTTGGAAGAGCCTCCTTTTATTCTTAAGGTCAATATCATTTCTTTCAGAAAGTCTTCCTTTCCTGACCCTACCTTCCACTCCCCCACCCCCAATCTGTTTAGCTCCCTTCTATTTAGCTGCACCTTGGAAGTACCAACATCATCTCAATCCACCAAATTGTTTATGGTCTTCATTTGCCCTTCTCCCTGACTAGTCTATGAGTTTCTTGAAGACAAACATTGTGTCTTTTTCATCTGTACCCTCAGGGCCCAACTCTCAGGACTCACAATATTGTCCAATAAAGGTTTGTCCAATGATGGTTTGTGAATGGATACAAAGGTTTGTCAAAATGTTTGTGAATGGATACTTGAACGAAGTGGGTAACCTTAGATCAGGGGTCCCCAACCCCTGGGCTGCAGACCGATACTGGTCCACGGCCTGTTAGGAACCGGGCCACACAGCAGGAGGTGAATGACCTACGAGCGAAGCTTCATCTGCCACCCCCCATTGCTCGCATTACCGCCTGAACTATCCCTGCCCCACCCCGGTCTGTGGAAAAATTGTCTTTGATGAAACCAGTCCCTGGTGCCAAAAAGGCTGGGGACCATTGCCTTAGATGATAACTTTGAAGGTAAACATTCACTTGATCGAGTCCTAGTCAAGTTTAAAAAATTACTGGATTATTTAATAAATGATGTTAGGTGGAATATTTTGTCAGTAAAGTAAAAATCAGATTCCCTACCTCATATCATAAGCATATGTACAAAATTCCAATTGGATTTAATGTTCGTATTTTTTAAAAAATGAACTCTAAACAACTATGACTACTTGTATAATTTTAGGGTGAGGAGGGCCTATTTAAACATAGCACCAAAACCAAAAACCACAAAGGAAAAGACTGATGGTGGCTCTGAGCTAATGTATCACTTTCCAAAGGTATCACTTTCTGCTTAGGGTCTGGAAGACATACTTTTTTCCTTTGTGGACTTAAAAAAACTCACAATGTAAAAGTTGCTAGTAGAGTTTATTCAGTGTCTTCCTGAAGACTATAGCCTGGGAGACAGCCTTTCAGATAGCTCTGAGAAACTGCTCCAAAGAGGTAAAGGGGGAGGTCAGTATACATGTGACTCTGGCAAAGGGGGTATGTGCAACCAAGCACACATCTTGGGAGAAGTTTGCTGCTAATCACGAGGAACACACATCTTAAAGGTTTTAGTGCTTTTCTAAGTATAGGCAGATGCAACAATCCAGGTTCATAAAAAATTTCTCCTGAAAATACCTAATTATCTAAAGCTCTGTTCTGCTAGTTTTTTAGCACAGAGCGCCTCATTCCTGATCTCTGCCCTGAACTCCTTTCAGAGTCTGTTAAAAGTCAGCAACTGCAATGGCTAATGACTCAATCCTTGTAGGACCACATGGCTAGCAACATTCTTTAGCTGGCACCTCTGAATTATTTTCCAATTGTTAAGAGTCTTAATATCTGCCTATTCAAGGAGCCACATAGGAAAAACAAGTGATTGTAACAATACACTAAAGGTTGTCCAAAATTTTGGAAACACAGGGAAAATAGTGTCTATTATTCTTTTTTCAGATTAATAATTGAACCCATTGCTTCAAGGTATTTCACCTAAAAGTTGAAGGAAAATATATTGAGCATATTATTTGAAAATATAACTAGTATATTGTTTGAAAATAAGTGAGTCCTATGTTTCTGACCTTTTGGATACTCCATGCAGTGTTGTCTTTAACAGTGCATAGAGTATCCAAAATTGAGCAACCTAAATGTTCAATAAGGACTTGTTAGTACATAAATTATCCATAATAAAAATTATGGTGTTGAAATATACGTATTGACCTGAAAAGGAATTCAGGACATATTTTTATAATATTTATTTGTTCATTTTTTGGCTGCATTGGGTCTTTGTTGTGGCATGCAGGGTCTTTTGTTGCAGTGCAGGGCTTCTCTCTAGTTGTGGAGCACAGGCTCAGTAGTTGCAGCGCACGGGCTTAGTTGCCTCGCGGCATGTGGGATCTTAGTTCCCTGACCAGGGATCAAACTGGTGTCCCCTGCATTGCAAGCCAGATTCTTTTTTTTTTTTTTTAATTTATTTATTTTTGGCTGTGTTGGGTCTTCATTGCTGCACGCGGGCTTTCTCTAGTTGCGGCGAGCGGGGGCTACTCTTCATTGCGGTGCACGGGTTTCTCATTGCAGTGGCTTCTCTTTGTTGTGGAGCACGGGCTCTAGGCACGTGAGTTTCAGTAGTTGTGGCACACGGGCTCAGTAGCTGTGGCTCGCGGGCTCTAGAGCACAGGCTCAGTAGTTGTGGCACACGGGCTTAGTTGCTCCGTGGCATGTGGTGTCTTCCCAGACCATGGCTTGAACCTGTGTCCCCTGCATTGGCAGGCGGATTCTTAACCACTGGACCACCAGGGAAGTCCCCAGGATATATTTTTAAATGAAAAGAAAATATGAGATTATAAACTGTTAGGTAAATTATTTTATTTTTATAAAATATATGCTATTTTTATAGTTATATGTATACAAAAATCTGAAAGGATATACATAAATGTGATAAATAGTGACTACCCTTCTTGCCTTATCTGAGTTTCTAATGTTTCAGCAATAAGAATAGATAATTCATGAGATGGGGATAAAAAGTCAAATAGTAGAATGGCTTACTCAAAACCGAAGCAAATACTGAGCAAACTTATTTAAACAATAAAGTTAGTGAAATGAAGAAGAAACTAAAGATTGCAAGACCACATAACTGTATACGATTTCAAATGATTTTCTGCCACCCCGTGGAGAATACTACTCATTGCAGGACATGGAACTATGAAAAATATAACTGAGGATGAAATTGTTGTCTAGGGGCATGGCCCAAGAAGTTGTTCAAAGGTCGGTTTATTAGGGCTTCCCTGGTGGCGCAGTGGTTACGAATCTGCTTGCCAGTGTAGGGGACAACGGGTTCAAGCCCTGGTCCAGGAAGATCCTACGTGCCACAGAGCACCTAAGCCCATGCGCCACAACTACTTAGTCTGCGCTCTAGAGCCCGCAAGCAACAACTACTGAGCCCGCATGCTACAACTACTGAAGCGCGCACGCCTAGAACCCTGCTCCGAAACAAGAGAAGCCACCGCAATGAGAAGCCCACGCACCTCAGCGAAGAGTAGCCCCCGCTCGCCGCGACTAGAGAAAGCCCGGGCACAACGAAGACCCAATGCATCCAAAAATAAATAAATAAAATAAATAAATTTATTTTTAAAAACCCTCTGTTTATTATGATCAGTTTTGTTTGTTCACTCTGCCAGCTACTTAACAAAATTGATAGGAGGAAAATAATAATACCTAACACATGTATAATTCCAATGCCGTGCACTGTTCCAATATACATAGGACTTTATCTCACAAAGATCCTATGAAGTAGGTATTACTTTTTCCCCATTTTATAGATGAGACACAGAGAGTTTAACCCCCTGCTAGCAGTAAATGTTGCCAAAGCAATGTAAACCCACGAGCTGCATTTTGGGTCAATGATTTAAAATTTTGAGCTTTTCAGTTCCCTCAAACCCCACCATTCCATAATGCCTTACCCAAAGGGTTGACTGCTGGGCCTTTGCAGGGATTTAGTGTTTGGGATTTAAGAGGGATCATTACATTCTCCAAATTAATCTTAGTTCCTTGAAGCTGTAGAGCAGTGTTGCTACTCAAAATATGGCCCATTGACCTGAACCCTTCAGAGAACTGTTTGTTACTGGTCCACGGCGAGACAGGTAGTACAGAAATTGAGAATAAATGTTTAGGAAACTTTACGGTGATTTTGCAGGTAATTTTATGGCTGTTGACTCTAATGATGAAATGTTTCTAATTTTTTATCTTACCAAAGCATGGTCCACAACTAATTGGAAATTTGTAAAAATAATAAGTTGATCGTTCTCTACATATACTTTTGTAAGCAGATAGGGTAGTGGGTCCCCGGAGAAAAAGAACTAGATCCAGCTTTTTTGACATAAGAGAAGCCATTTTAGGCCTAAGCCCTTTTGTGATCCAAGCCTGGCCACAATGCTTGCCATTGAACAGGTGTCAGTAATAAGGATCTTAAAGGAACAAAAGAACAAATGACTGTTATCTGGCAAAAGAAACAATAGCAAAGATAATACATCAGTTGTGAAGACTCCCAGCTCCGTTTCAATGGTGAAGATTAGCCGGAAGCACTCAACCACCAGATCAACTGGAACCTAAGAGATGATGATGTTGACCTTTTCTCAGCCTCAAGTGACTTCAATCAACTAAAGCTTGGACTCCGTCAACCTTTACCCCAATTCTATGCCGCAGTCTCCTCTGCTCAAGCCCCTTCATGACTGTGCATGAACCCTTAGCTTAAAACTTCCCTAAGTTCTCTGCTTGGCAGACACTGCTTTGGGAAAGATTCCCCAGCTTCCTCCTTATTTGGTGCCAGTAATAAATCCTTCCTTCTCCTGATCTTTACCTTGGTTGTCTTTTGGCTCAACTCCCTCTAAGAGGTGAACCCAATTTTCTGGTAACAATTTGAAAAGCACTGTTATAAAGCTGTTCGCCCGGGACAATTTTACCAAACTCTAAGGATTTCTTCTGAGGTTAACTTCCCCAGTGAGACATCTGATATTTTTCCTCCTCTTTTTGCATCTATTTTATTATATAGCGCTATCATAATGATCAGTAAAGCAAACATAAAGAATATAAAAATGGCTCCTTGAGACTCGAGGGCGGCGGTCCTGTTCCGGGCGAGGAAGCGCCTGTAGCCGCAGGGGTGTGTGACAGGTCGCCTGCCGGACAGAAACGCTTGACAGCCCCGCGGGCCAAGTCGCGGGCGCCTGCGCGCAGGCATTAGCTCCTCCCTCCCTTCCTCCCACCCCACGGCTGAGGGTGTGGTCGGGAGAAGGAGCCCTGAGGCTTCCCGAAGACGCCACGGCTCCGCCTCGGCTTCCGCCAGCTGCGGCGTCTGGAGAAGGTCGGGATGTTGTCACTTCCTCCGGAGCCGCTCTCTGCATCCGGGTCGGCTGTTGCCGCTGTGGCTGAGGGACTGGGCCCGGGTCTCACCGTCGGAGGGGAGCGGGCTCCGCTCGGCGCTACCTTCTGCGACCTGGCCGTCAGCCCTGCGTCGCCGGCCTGGAGGGGCGAAGAAGACGAGGAGGCCAAGGGTTCCTCCGGGGTCAGTGCGACTCGGGAAGGCTGGGCACGGCGGGTCTGAGCTGGGAACAGTCCTGGGGTGGATGGGGGGGACGTCCGAGGGGCACGTATCCCGAACCGCCCGACCAGGGAAGCCCAGAGCGGTATCCGCTGTAGGAGGCGCCGCGGAAACTGCCCGGAGGCGCTTCCCGGATCCCCGCCCCGCTTAGGCCCCCGCCCTTGGCCAGGCTTCTGATTGCTTTTTGCCACCTTTGCGTCCCCCCTTCTTCCACCCCTTTTCCGTTTGTAGGGGTGGTGCTCTCTTCTCTGCCCCTCTGCACATTCCCCGCTCTGGGGGCACGTTGGTCCCTTGTTTGTCACCAGCGTTGGTCCTGGTGCAGAACAAAGAAACTTGGACGTCTAATGTGCTCCACATCCTCCGGGAATATAGACACGGAAGCGGCATCCGTAATCAGGGCTTTAATGGACCTTGATATGTGAAAAGCCCAATTCCTGCGTGGATTCAGACACTGCCTTTTACTTCCGTACCTGGCAAAAGTGGTTTGAGTTTCTTGATGCCACTGGAGATCTACTAGAGCAACTCCTATTAAATCAGAAATGTATTTGGGTCTGTTACATTGCTTTGAAACCCCCTTGGTCTTCCCTGTTCTGGGCAGCTCTTTGAGAGCACGGCTTTTGTCATCTAGGTAGTCGTAGCGCCTTGCATATAGTTAGTTTAATGAAGTGTGATTGTGTTTTGGTGGGGTTTTTTTTTTTCGCCCTTTTAAAAAAAATCAGGCTATTTCTCCTAATGCTTACTTAATTTTTAAAATTAAACGTATTTTTTCTCTAAAATTATATAAGAATTTCTGCCATTTGTAAATGGGTGTTGTTTCCTCAAAATTATAACTGAAGTTACCGTGTCTAGTTACCCTACAGACTATTTTCTTATGATTTTGCATATCTTCTCCTTAGTTCTTATCATTTTACATTTTCTCCACACAATCTTTTTAATTTTTATGATCTCCTCTATTGCAGCCTAATATTGTTGGGTTTAGACGGGAAGTATGACAGGTCCACTTCTGCAAACATGGGGCTTGAACTAGATCATCATAAGTCTGTGCTATTGTAGTCTTTAGGCATTACAGGACCTTTGAAGCTAAGTGTAGCTATATCTGGCATTGCAGGCTTATTCTGTAGAAAGTTGCCAGTGAACTGGAGATGGTGTGCTGTATTAGAAACAGTCTAGGTCTAATCTGGAAACCAGAATGTAGTGTTATTTGTCTCATATATAAGATAAAATGGGGGTAATAACATCAGTGTTTTATACGACACAAAGTTTTTGGGTGGGATGCATGAGATGATGGATGTACAAGTGGTTAGTAAAGGGGAAAAGCACTCTTTGGGAAAGTAGTTCTCTTCCTTCTCCTGGTGTAATGCTCGTAGAAGGAGCAGTGGTGGAGAAAGGCATCTAAGAAAGGAAGTATATGTATAGCCAGATCCGATAATTTAACCTTGGCTGATAGTGGATCAAAAGATGCCATGTGAAGTTTGCATCCTGTAAAGCAGAGTGCTAGTATAATGTGATGATAATAATATTCCAAAGTTATAGTTTTATGTTACATCCAGTATTTGTAACTCCACAGCAAAGTGTTACAGATCAGTTTTTAGACTTTAATCTTCTTAAAGGTCTCAGAGCATTTCCAGTACGTTCTGCATACTGATAATATAATGTACCTTGTATAGTTGGCATAATTACCCTGTGCTTTATCGTCACAATTTTGAGAAACAGCACTATTGTAATTTCTCTTGAATTTTGTGTTAACATTTCTGATAGGGTGTCACATTTAATTGAGATATATAATTGACATGACTTTTTTTAGTTTCAGGTGTACAACATCATGATTCGATATTTGAATATATTGCAAAATGATCACCACAATATGTCTACTTAACATCCACACTTAGTTACAAAATTTTTTTTCTTGTGATGAGGACTTTTAATATTTACTCTCTTAGCAGCTTGCATATATCTAATACAGTTTTATTAACTATAGTCACTATGCTGTACATTACATTTCCAGGACTGACTTATTTTATAGCTGGAAGTTTGTACCTTTTGACCCGCTTCATCCATTTCACCCACCTCCCACCCCACGACCTCTGGCAACCACCAGTATGTTCTCTGTATCTATGAGCTTGGTTTCGGGGGGTTTGGGTTTTTTTCTGTTTTTTGGGTTTTTTTTTTAAAGATTCTACACATAAGTGAGATCATATGGTGTTCATCTTTCTCTGTCTGACTTATGTTACTTAGCATAATGCCCTCAGGGTCCATGTGTGTTGTTGCAAATGGCAGAGTTTTTTTTTAAGTAGCTGAATAATATTCCTTTGTGTGCGTGTGTGTGTGTGTGTGTGTGTGTGTGTGTGTGTGTGTTTATTCATCGATGGACACTTAGGTTACTTGCATATGTTGGTTATTGTAAATAATGCTGCTGTGAATGTGAGGGTACAGATATCTTTTCCAGTTAACGTTTTCATTTTCTTCCGATAAATACCCAAAAGTGGAATTGCTGGATCATATGGGAGTTCTGTTTTTAATTTTTTGAGGAACCTCCTTACTGTTTTGCGTAGTGGCTGCACCAGTTTACATTCCCATCAAGGATTCCCTTTTCTCCTCATCCTCGCTAACGTTTGTCATTTCTGGTCTTTTTGATAATAGCCGTCCTAAGGTGTGAGGCGATATGATATCTTCGTGTCATTTCATTTTTAAAAACCTGCATGACTCTGCTCTCAAGGAAACAATGACAAGCATATAGGATTTTTACAGGTGTTTTGGTGACCTTCCTAAACACGTAGGCTGGGCCTAAAGTATTTTCTTGTAGTGCTACCAGCATTGCCAGCTTCACAGGAAAAAGTGAACATAAATATTTAGAATGAAGCCCTTTCCTTTAAATGGGGATGTGAAAGCCTTGCCTAAGCATTTCCTTTTGCCAGATTGATTTCAGCATACATGTTGGTTATTAGCACCTATTCCAGCATCTAGGTTAAACTACATAATAGTAAAGTTGTCATGTAAAATTGTAAGTTATAATTCAGGCAGTTCTAAATATGATCTTAATATTTAATTTTTGCTTATATTGTTAGGCTGCATGGGGAAATCCCCGTTTTCATCTTGGTTGAATTTACCACCACACCTCGCTGAGGTCAGCTACAGTTTTTGAATTTGTCTCTGTGACCTCCACTGCTAACTGGCATAAGTAATGATGTACCACCACTACCACACATTTGTTGAGAAATCAGGGTACTCCTCTTGCATTTGGTTATTTTAACAGTTGGCATCTTAAAGTATTACTTCCCCATTCTGATTTACCAAATCAATGAACAAAAAACGGGAAACAGCCACGATTAACTTGTAAATCAGCAGTATCCCGATTTCCTTCAGAGTAGTTGTGCTTATATTGCTCCTGTCTTGTTTCCTGTTCTTACAGCTGCTGATAATGTGCTTCTAAGAACAGTCCTCTCTCTGTCGTTTACCTAGTGTACTTTTCCCCTAAAATTTGTGATGAAATGGTTAAGAGTGAATCTGTATTTCTCTCTCCTAGGTTTCGTTTAACTAGCTTAATTAATTATCCCCAAACTAAATATCCATGTCCATATGCCGGGGTGTATTAACATCACATGACTCAATGATATTAAAGTAAAAGTTGAATGAATCAGCTAAATGAGCTGACAGACTCTGGCTGCCTGTGTCTAGAGAAGTATTTTCACGTGGTTGACTTGTTCAAGTGGTAAAGCAGCTAAAAGACATGGTTTATCTTTTAGAATTTCACAAGGTATGTATTTTCTCTTACAAACAAGGAATAATTTTACCAACAGAAATAGACACTACTTGTATGTAGGTTGCCCCAAATATTTTCACTACTCTTTTTGAGGGGTAAAACTTAACAGGAAGACTACTTATGTAGTTTAATTAGGAAAAAAAACTTAACAGGTTGAGCAAAACAAGTGGTTACTATTCAGTGTTAAACCTTACAATTAAATGTTTATTTTTAAATTTAACTAATGTTTAAAGACCCATTATGTGCCGGACACTGTGCTAGATGCTGGGAGTACAGTGGTAGCAACTTCCAGTCACCGCTTATATTTTTGAAATATTAAATGTTTTTCTGAGTATGTGGGGTATTTGAAAAAAACACTCAGAACATCCTATTATTTTTCCAACACCCAGTAAAAATGTGAAACTAAATAATGAAAGCTCTGATTATTAAATCTAGGAAAAAACATTAATTCACTTCATAGTGAGTATCAAAGATTTGAAAAAACACTGAGTCGTGTAATGAATTTAAAAGTTGAGGGACTTCCCTGGTGGCACAGTGGTTAAGAATCCGCCTGCCAGTGCAGGGGACATGGGTTTGATCCCTGGTCTGGGAAGATCCCACATGCCGCGGAGTAACCAAGCCCGTGTGCCACAAGCACTGAGCCTGAGCTCTAGGGCCCGTGAGCCACAACTCCTGAAGCCCATGCTCTGCAACAAGAAAAGCCACTGCAATGAGAAGCCCGCACACCTCAACAAAGAGTAGCCCCCGCTCGCTGCAACTGGAGAAAGCCAGTGCGCAGGAATGAAGACCCAATGCAGCCAAAAAAGAAAAAAAGTTATAAAAGTTGGAATAGACTGTCAGTTTTCAACCTTAAGTAATAGAATGCTGCACTGTCACTTGAACATGAATTCTAGAGTAATAAGTATTAAGTATTTGGGTTTTATTGATCATAATTTGGGGGTCTTTTCTAATAATTCTGTGTTCTAAATAGAAAATTATTTGTTAAAGTAGGTATCCCTTTTTTGTTTGTTTTCCTCTCTACAGAGAGTAAGAGTTGCTGTCAGAGAACAGTCTATGAAGTGGTCCTTGAAGGTGTGTCAGATTACTTTATAGGTTATGTATCAGAAACAGAGAAACTGCTAAATAAGTCAAGATTATTATATTTTAAGTGTGTTTTCCATTCATTTCTCAAAATTGCCTGGCTCAGTTTTTCCCGGAGAATTAAAAATGCCTTACTTCTACTCTGTATAAATTAACTGACTTTTCCCAGCAAACATGTTGGTGAAGAAAAGACAGCATTTGCTTTTTTCTATTTGCAAGTGGTTCCTCAACAATTTAGACCTTTTGAGAATGTTTGAAATCTCTTGAGCATAAGTAAGAATTCAAACTGGGAAAAGAGCCTCCCAGTCTTGGCAGAGATATGAATGTAGTTTATTATGTGAAATCTAACACTTTAGAAAATTTCCAATGTAATTTTGTTGTTGTTGTTGTTCTGGAACATAATGGTTTTTTGGTACAACTTTGTGTATCTTTTGAACGTTGTAATGACACAGCAGATAAGGCAACCATAAAATATGACCACAAGTTATACGTACATGATTTTAAAAGTTAAATAATTTAGAAGGATTTACCATGAATAGCATCTTCTCCCCCTCCCACCTTATTTCTTCTTCCACTGGTGTCAACCACTTTTAACTTTGTTTTAAAACTGCTAGTGATAACTAGTAATACTTTCTATCTCTTAAGACATCTATGTTTTACTTCTTTTTTAAAAGATAACTTTAGACATCTATTGACTTACTCTAATGTAAGTGAACTAAATATTCCGTTTATACCTCTTGCCCCCTAAAGTTGTCACGATTTTTGTTGCACTGTTAACCAGTTGATCTTAATGACTTCTTAAATAATATACTTAAACCTGTATTTCTTATTCCATCAACAATACCAAACTCTAGATCCTTCATTTTGTAAACTAAGGATAGTAACACCCACATCCTTTCTTGGAAAAACTGAAACTAAGTTAAAACATGGAGTTGCGTGAATAGAAACATTCACCAAATTCAGTGTCTGAAAACTCATGCTAAACTACATGAGAAAAGCTTGTTATAGATATAAAGCAAATCAGAACGTAGCATAATTCATTTACTGGACAGGTACTGGATAGCCTTCTTTAAGTGGCTCAGGAATTATGTCATTGGAACTATAGAGAAGTAATATAAGAGACAGCACACCACTTGGACTCTGCTGAATCAAGCGAGTGTAAATGCTGTTTACCTAGTGTTCAATTTCTAGAATTAACCTCTCTCCAAAGGACAGAAAATTTAATTATGGGTGTAGAATAGAGCATATATTTATTTACTTTTATTATTTGTGCCCCCCATCCCGCAAATTGCTTTTACATAATTTACAGTACCTAATAAATTTTAAATCGTGTCCTGGGGCACACATGCATATATGCAAATGAAAGCAGGTACTTCACTGCACAATACCCTTATTACAAACAGTAATTACTGGAATATATACACTCTGTTTTCTGTTCTAATTCTTGGGGGAAAAAAGTTGTAGTTGCAACCAACTAAATTTATTTCATGATCAGGATGGAAGTATGAACTAAGGTATAAGATTATTGCATCTTTTTAGCAGATAAAGTGAAAAATAAGCCTATAAATTTTTTTTTCGTTTTTTACAGGACCTTGGCTCTCTGGATTATCAGGAGCTTGTAGTTGACATTGAGTCCAGGCTGAGGATGGAAGGTGTTGAGCTTAAGGAAGAATGGCAAGATGAAGATTTTCCAATGTGAGCAATGCTTTTAAATGAAAACAAGTAAACAAAACTTCACAGTTTCTTTATTGAGATGTCACTTACTACAGGGGTCCCCAACCCCCAGGCCACGGACCACTACCGGTGTGTGGCCTGTTAGGAACCCGGCCACACAGCAGGAGGTGAGCGGAGGGCGAGTGAGTGAAGCTCCATCTGCCGCTTCAGTGCTGCTCCATCACTCGCATTCCCGCCTGAACCACCCCCCCACTGCCCCTCTGTCTGTGGAAGAATTGTCTTCCACGAAACCGGTCCCTGGTGCCGAAAAGGTTGGGGATTGCTGACTTACTAAATGAATATCAGGCTTCTTAAAGAAACCCAGTGTTGCAAAGTATTCATTTAATACTGGTAATAGAGTCTGAGGGGTTTCTAGGGGAAGGTGGTCTTTAGAAGTCTATAGGAATTGTTAAGTTGTATGCTTTTATTTTGAGAAAAAGCTTGTTAAGTAAACAAGGAAGAGCTTTCTAGGTTATCTGGCGAGCTACCTTGACACATTTGCATTTGTGTTTACGATTGTATCGGCACCAGTTGGGTTAAGAGAAAAAGAGCAAAGGCAGACTTTATATTTAAGTGATGCTTCCATGCCGTCTTGGTCAGAAGACCATCCCAGTGCATAAGAAGGTTCCTTAGCAGTTGGAATATGGACAGCTGGTGAGAGTACTGAGTCATTGCATAGCATAGCATGATAGTAGTAATAAATGCAGAGCTCAAAATATGTAATCATCATTACCATATTCCCATTGTGAGTGACAATTCAGCTTCATTATACATTGTATCATGCATCACATTAAATTCATGCATTTGAAATATATTTGTTCTGTAGATTAATGATTTTTTAATTTGTTTTGTAGTTGTATTTAAGAGCAGTTACATAAGGAATATATATCTACTTTTATGTGTTGCTTATGTAAATATGTAAGTCAATTCAGACAGTCTGAAAATTTTCTTTGACAGTGGTTTGTAAATTACTAAACCTTAAGAAACATTGGTTTATTCAGTTTTCCACATAATTGTTTCTATAAGCTATTTTAATAGATCTTTGAACTTCAAAAAATTTTTTTTTAATTTCTGGGTTAAAAATTGTGTCTGTGTGTTCTAGACCTTTACCGGAAGATGATAGTATTGAAGCAGATATATTAGCTGTAACTGGACCAGAGAGTCAGCCTGGTAAGAACTTGACACTTAGTGATAGACTTTAACTGTGCTATTTTTTGAACACATTTCTTTGTCAAGATAAAAAATATACTCAGTTTTTATTCCATCATAGGGTGCCAAAGGGTAATGTGAATGTTTAGGAAAGCGTTTTTGGATTGCTTTGGAATACTTTTCAGAAACATACCTTTGGGTTTTAGAAATTTCAACCATAAAGGGGTGAGAGGAGATCGTTTTTAATAGTAAAAGGTGACTATAAGGTCTGCTGCTGTTATTTAAAAAGGCATATCCTTGCTGTGATGTGTCATCTTGCTGTGATACAGAAGCAATAGTGATCAAAATCCAAAGTTTGTAAATAAGTGCTTTGGAATTGTGTTTAATTAATGTTATTTTCTCAAGAATAAAGTGATTAAAGTTTTTCTCTTATTCAGTTTATACATCTAAGCATTTTTTCTAAATATATCTTTCACTTTTTTTTTAACCCATTTCAGGCTCACTAGAAGTTAATGGCAATAAAGTGAGAAAGAAACTAATGGCTCCTGACATTAGCCTAACCCTGGATCCTAGTGATGGCTCTGTGTGGTCAGATGATTTGGATGAAAGTGGGGAGATTGAGTTAGATGACTTAGATACACCATCGGAGGACAGTAATGAATTTGAGTGGGAAGGTAAGTGTTTCATTATTTTTACCTGACTTTTATTAGTGAACGTTCATGTGTATATACATACGTAGTAGCATTTTCATATTAGGATAATTGGAAAAACTTAAAACTTGATCATGAAACCAGCTAAGGGATTTTGTTGAAAAAATCAGTGGCTAAGGGATTTTGTTGAAATGTTACACTTTCTAAAGTTCATATATTTGTTGCAAAGATATGAAATTCGGGTAAACACTGAATATGATGGCTTTCAAAACCGTTTATAGTAGATTACACATGTGGCTCTATTTTTTTCTTAATTGCCCAGTGCTGTAAACTTATGTTTTTCCATGTAGCTCCCAATATTGCTTGATAATTATGGCATGTTGTTTTATTCAGTAGATAACTAAGAAGAAAAGCTTTGAAGAAACTTATGCTTTAGGGAATGTGCTAAAAGTAGTTAAGACTTTGCAGAGAGGGAGTTCTGAAGGGAGTGGTTTTTTTTTGAGGGTGTTTTTTTTTTAAAAATAGGTTTGCCTGATAGTGCTGCACTTTGTAAACAACTACCTTGAATTAGTGTATTCTCCTAGCCTCCACCCTTATATTCTTTATCATTAGTTATTTGGAATTGAAAGGAAATGGCATGTGTTTTGCTTTGCATGCTTTCTTTAATTAGATAATTGCTGTCTACAGTATCTTTATAGTTGTTAATAATTTATATATGTTTAGTTCATCTTTAAAGTGATTTTTATTTCAAAGCAGTGTTTATCACTAGGTATGTTATCTGCAGTAAAGAGTAAGATCCTTAATGTGCTGTTATCTTCTGTTCCTTTTTTTCTTCCCTGTTTCACTCGTTCAATATGCAATCCGGTAATAAGCAATATTTTATAAAGATACTGAAATAGTTTTCTGCCTATGTGTTTTGTCTCTTCTTTCTTTAATGCTGCTGTAGTCATTTCCTGGAAGGATATTTTCCGTTAACAGCTTTGTCTTGGAAACAAACAACTAACATACAGTAGGTTTCCCCTTCCCCCATCTTTTGGTAAGGACTATGATACTAAAATTTCGAAAATCATTGCTTCATTAAAAATCAGCTAAAGTGCAATCTTAAAATGTAAATTATACCTAATCATTGGTGCTTGTGCTTTGACTAATGTCAATTTAAAATAGACTTTTGCACGTACACTTCAGAATATTATCAATAATTTTCTGCTTTATAAGACTGATCAAATGAGAAATAATCATTGACTCGTTAACCACTTTCTATCTGGTATTATAATGTTTGGGGAATAATTTATGTGCTCAGCAACAAAAAACATTGGCTCCCAGAGAGTTGCTTTAAGTAACCTATAGTGGTAACTGTCTGTCAAGGACAGTGTTGTAAATAGAATCTGGAAAGGCATTGTAGGGCCAGTGTACTAAGATTTTGATGGCTGTGTGAATTATCGTTTCTGAATTTGTGGATGTACGTTGTACTGCGATTAGGTCCTTTCTGAATTAAGCAATTCAAAAAAAGTTAAAGAACCATGATTTCCAAAAAACAAAATGGCCTTATATCAAGAATAAGCCTTTTCCTCTATTACAGAAGAAATATTTAAAATTCCACACACAGGGAACTCTGCTCAGTATTATGTAACAACCTAAATGGGAAAAGAATCACTTTGCTGTACACCTGAAACTATTGCAACATTGTTAATCAACTATACTCCAATATAAAATAAAAAGTTAAAAAATAAATAAAATTCCACAGAAGGTATAATAAAAAAATTCTCTGAACAATCTAATTCGATAGTAAAGTGGTTAACATGTAATTTGATTTTTATTTTATAAATAACAATCTGTGATTCAAAAACCTTTTATTTTGACAGATGATCTTCCGAAACCCAAGACTACTGAAGTTATTAGGAAAGGCTCAATTACTGAATATACAGCAGCAGAGGAAAAAGAAGATGGACGACGCTGGCGTATGTTCAGAATTGGAGAACAGGACCACAGGGTTGATATGAAAGCAATTGAACCCTATAAAAAAGTTATTAGCCATGGAGGTAACGGTTACCAAAGATTTTTTAGATTTTTTAATACAATATCAGAAATCTGAATGCTTAAGAGAATCTCTCCTTTGAGGTATTACATAATTTTGAAAGCATAATAAACATCATGTTCTTTTAGAAATGTAACAGGTTTGAAGTAAAAGGCTAAAGCCAACATTTAAAAATTGTTAACACGTGCATACAGTAAGTTCAAAAGGTGTAAGAGTGTACGGTGAAAACTGTCTCCTTCCACCCTTATCCCTAGACACCCCTAAACTGGGACTTTCTCCCTTTTTTATCCATTTATAATTTATATACAGTGAACTACTCTAATCCTTTTTTTGTAGCATTTGTATATTCCTTTTTTTTCCACCTTCATTGAGATAAAACTGACAAAGTGTGTAAGTTTAAGGTGTAAAATATGTTGATTTGATACGTTATATATATATTTTCTTTTAATTTTAATATTTATTTAGTTATTTGGCTACCTCAGGTCTTACTTGTGGCACGTGGGATCTTTTGTTGCAGCACGTGGGCTCTTTTGTTGCAATGTGGGCTTCTCTTTAGTTGTGGCCCTCGGGCTCAGTTGTGGCATGTGGGCTTTAGAGCGCGCAGGCTTAGTTGCCCCACGGCATGTGGGATCTTAATTCCCCAACCAGGGATCGAAAATGCGTCCCCTGCATTGGAAGGTGGATTCTTTTTTTTCTTTTTCTTTCTTTTTTTTAAAAAAAGTTTTATTTGTTATTTATTTTATTTTTGGCTGCGTTGGGTCTTAGTTGTGGCACGCGGGATCATTCGTTGCAGTGCGTGGGCTTCTCTCTAGCAGTGGCGTGCAGGTTTTCTCTTCTCTAGTTGTGGTGAGCAGGCTCCAGGGCGCCTGGGCTCTGTAGTTGTGGCGCGCAGGTTCCAGAGCACATGGGCTCTGTAGTTTGCGGCACGCAGACTCTCTAGTTGAGGCACGCGGATTGCCCCGCAGCATGTGGGATCCTAGTTCACTGACCAGGGATCAAACCCGAGTCCCCTGAATTGTAAGGCGGATTCTTTACCACTGGACCACCAGGGAAGTCCCTGGAAGGCGGATTCTTAACCAGTGGACCATCAGGAAAGTCCTTGATACATTATATGCTGCGAGTGATTGCTACCATAGCATTTGCTAACACCTGTATCACATCACATAATTACCATTTCTTTTTTGTGGTGGGAACATTTAAGGTCTAGTCTACTCTTTTAGCAACTTTCAAGTACATAATTCAGTATTGTTAACTATAGTCACTATGTGGTACATTAATCCCCAGAAATTATTCATCTTCTAACTCGAAGTTTTTACTTTGATCAACATCTCCCCTTTACCCCCAGCCCCTGGTAACCACCATTTTAGTCTCGGTTTCTGTGAGTTCAGCTATTTTAGATTTCAGATACAAGTGACATACAGTATTTGTCATTCTTCTGTCTGACTTATTTCACAAGAAATGCTCTAATCTTAAGTGTACAGTTCACTGAATTTTGATGAATGCCCATATAACTATATACACTTAAAATCTACACCCCCAGACAGACAGAACATTTTCATTGCCCCAGAAAATTCTCTGGTTCTCCCTCTCAATGAATACCCTCTCTCCAATAACCACTATTCTAATGCCTACCCCGTGATTAGTTTTGCTTGTTAAAGAATTTCATGTAACTGGAATCATAGTTTACACTCTGTCTACTTTCACTCAGCATAATGATTTTGACATTTATCCATGTTGTTGCATGTATCCATAGTTCATTCCTTGTTACTGCCGGTTTGCTTATCCATCACTATTTTGATGGCCTTGTGAGTTATTTTCCAGTTTGAGCTATTATGATTAAAACTGCTGTGAACACTTTTTTTTTTGGCTTTGCCATTCATTTGTTTTTGGCGGGGGGGCGGGGAGCTGTGTTGGGTTGCACACAGGTTTCTTTCGTTGCTGCGCGCAGGCTTTCTCTAGTTGCAGCGAGTGGGGGCTACTCTTCGTTACAGTGCACAGGCTTTTCGCTGTGGTGGCTTCTCTTGTTGTGGAGCACGGGCTCTAGGCACGGGGGCTTCAGTAGTTGCGGCTCGCGGGCTCTAGAGCGCAGGCTCAGTAGTTGTGGCGCACGGGCTTAGTTGCTCTGCTGCATGTGGGATCTTCCAGGACCAGGGATCAAACCCGTGTCCCCTGCATTGGCAGACGGATTCTTAACCCCTGCACCACCAGGGAAGTCCCCTGTGAACGTTGTTATACTCTTTTGCGCTTATAAATACAACCTGGCCCTTTAAAATATGAATCTTAATTTGCCTTAAAACCCTGAACAAATCATTTAGCTTTACCACAAAGTAGACAGTTAGTTCATTCCACGTTTTTTTTTGGAACACCCACTTTGCATATTTATGGAATATATAAAAATAAGGCTTTGTTCCTTAAGAAATTTACAAGTCAAATAGGAAAAGCTATGAAGTGCAGTTATAACATCTATCAGTCTGACTGTCTTGTATGTAGAAGTTTACATAGTCACTGTGTAAATAGCACCAGAATGTTAGTGGTAGTCAAAATACAACTCTATAGAGCACGTCATACTACCTGAAATCCTCCTAATTCAGGACAGGGGGCCACATAGGTCAAGCAGATTGGTTTTTTCACATAGTCGTTTCTGCTTAATTTACTCTCTGCCAAATGCATTCTGTTTATTTCTGTAGTCTTCATTCATCTGAAAGCAGATCTCTTGAATATTTGCAGTTACATTATTCTGCCTAATTTAGTCTTACTCAGTGAAGAAAACAGGATAATATGGATCATGAAGTCCACAGACATGTATTAATTCATCTAGTTCATTGGAAGCAAGTTGTGAGACCTGCCTCATTGTTTAAACCTAATATTTTTGAGAAATAGCACTTTATTTTTTTAGGAGAACATAATTAGGGCCATTTTATCCTATTGAGTTACCACAAGGTGTTTTGTGACTAAGGGATTAAGAAAGGTAGTGAATATTCTAATGTACTTGAAATGTTCCTTTTTAGTGCATGTTTGTAAACAATAGGAATGAAAATTAAAGCAGAAGTATTTGTTGCTGGTTACAGCTTAATATCTATATGAGAATTAAAACATTTATATTTTAGAGATTGTAATTAAAACGTATATTTTAGTGCTGTTTTTCTTCACTTAGACTTAGGTCAGACATAATCTTTTCTTTTTAATACCCTAAAAGCTACAAAATGCTAGACATCATTGAATGTAAAACTATTTTTTAAAGAGCAACTACTTTAAGCAGAAGTTGCATAAGAATGTTTTATTGCAGATGTTGTATCTGGTTGGATTATTATCTATCTACTTGCTAAAATAAGGCAGCTTTCTGAGTATGCTAATTTAAGTGGGTTTCTGGTTTTTATGCCCACTCTTTCCTCTTTAAATTTTATTGTTCTCTTTTTGAGAAGAGAGGATTTAAAGAGCTCTGTAAGACTCTACAGGGTCAGAACAAAAAAAACCATACTTTTTGATTCAGAAATGTGTGGAACATGCACCACTGTAATTTATCAACCGTAAATGATATCCCCTGAAACATCTTCAGAGTATAATCATGCTGGTTTCTTTTTCAGGATATTATGGGGATGGATTAAATGCCATTGTTGTGTTTGCTGTCTGTTTTATGCCTGAAAGTGGTCAACCTAACTATAGATACCTGATGGACAATCTCTTCAAGTAAGTAGATCATCACAAAAATGTTTGGACAGAATTGAGTACATTAGATCTCCAGTTTAAGGAAGAGAACTTTATTTAGCTGGGTAGAAATTATTGCGTTGGCCAAAAAGTTCATTCGGTTTTTTCCGTAAGATGTTACAGAAAAACCTGAGGGAACTTTTTGGCCAACCCAATATAAATAATCCTAGTTCTGATTCCGTACGTCTATCCCTTGGCATTATAAAAACTATCCATTTTCCAACTCAACAGAAGAATTGTCATTTTAAAACTGGAAGAGATATTACAGATTATGTGTTCCAACTTCATTTTACACTTGAGGACACATTAAGTGCTTTATTGGGGAAAATTTCAAACATATACAAAGGCAGAGAGAAGTATATTAAATCTTTGTGTAACAATCACCCAGTTCCACAATTATCAGTTTATACTTTATTCCCACAAATACCTCCCCATGGCATAATTTTGAAGCAAATCCCAGACATCATATCATTTATAAACATTTTAAGATGTATTACTAAAAGAAAAGAACTTTTTTTCTTTAAATAACCATAATACCAACTAATGCTGTTTTAAATTTTTGCTCTCACTGAAGGGGAGGGAAGGGAATTGTGTTATTTGGATAACCTGGTTTGGTTCTGCATAGCAATGTTTCTAAGACTCTATTTTTACAGGTACGTTATTGGCACTTTGGAGCTGTTAGTAGCAGAAAACTACATGATCGTTTATTTAAATGGTGCAACAACTCGAAGAAAAATGCCCAGTCTGGGATGGCTCAGGAAATGCTATCAACAAATTGATAGAAGGTATTGTAAATGCAAGTGGAAAGCTAGTCTGAATAATGTTTATTATGTCCTTATTAGATTAAATTTTATTTCGCTTGCCACTTAAAGTCACCATGTATTTCTTCAGAAATTACATTTATTAATTTCATAACAAGTTTCTATTTTCAAACTTATAAAATAGCTCTATTTCTCTTTTGAACCACATCAAACATTTTCCTATAATTTACATTTTGGGAAAGGATGGAGAATTTAGTACATTTCCTATTTTATTACATTCTGGATTTTGCCTCATTTATAGTGCTTAGTATATTTTGTTAGTTAAGATGCTTATTTAGCTGTAATCTTTCTTTGGAATGAGTTCTAGAAATGTATTCTCTTGGGAGTTAGTCATCCATGCTAATGAAAGGAATTTTGATCCTCTATTTGGTTTGATTTGACCACAGCTAATTCAAACTAGGTTTAATCAACTCAGATCCAGTAACAGGTTTCTCTTCATACCTGAACATGACTTTGGCTGGTTCTTGTGATTTTTTTTTTTTTTTTAATACTTAGTCATCACTGTAAGTGTGAAATATGATGATAAAAACAGCAGTTTTTATTTCATCATTTTAAGTTGCCTAGGATAATGCTTTTTTTAAATTTATTTATTTTTTATTTATTTTTTTTTGCGGTACGCGGGCCTCTCACTGTTGCGGCCTCTCCCATTGCAGAGCACAGGCTCTGGACGCGCAGGCTCAGCGGCCATGGCTCACGGGCCCAGCCGCTCCGCGGCATGCGGGATTTTCCCGGACCAGGGCACGAACCCGTGTCCCCTGCATCAGCAGGCGGACTCTCAACCACTGTGCCACCCGGGAAGCCCTAGGATAATGCTTTTAACTTTTAATCAAAATTTTAGACTCCATAAGAATACATTAGATCTGATTCATGTTGCCTGTTCCTGTGGTGATCTCTCCTCTCACCTTTCTGCCTGCCCAGTGCCTTTCATGGTGTTGAAGAAATTAATAACAGTTTCCCCTCCATCCTGAAAAATGAAAAGAGCTTACTTTTATATTCAGTATTGGCTTCTACCCCTGGTTGACAGTCTTGAAGACAAGTGAATGTATATTAGGAGACATTTAATAACAGGCTACACTGTGAACATAAATTTAGGCAAATGAAGTAGAGTTCATTTTGTGGCAGTGGGAAGGACCATTGGAATTCAGGAGTGCATTTTCTTTTGTTTGTTATCTTTTGTTGTCTTTAGGAATATCATATCCAAATGACAGCTCTTGAATGAGGATTTTTTCAATTTTTTGTATAGATTTGCACATACTTACTGAGGTCCTAGCTTTTCTTCTAGCATTAGAATTTGTAGAACTTTTAAATTTTTCTTTTTTTTTTAAACTCCAGGTTACGGAAAAACCTAAAGTCTCTCATTATTGTACATCCCTCTTGGTTTATCAGAACACTTCTGGCTGTTACAAGACCATTTATTAGGTAATTTTCTGAGAACCATTGACTCTTAAAGAAACCCCCACAGACTCCTTGTATGAATTTCTTGTCCGTTCTGTTGGTCAGAAATATTAAGGTAATTATCTTTATTTCTTTCCATAGCTCAAAATTCAGCCAAAAAATTAGATACGTCTTTAATTTGGCAGAACTAGCGGAACTTGTCCCCATGGAATATGTTGGAATACCAGAATGCATAAAACAGTATGTTTTGTTTCATTTCTTTAATTGTATTGGATCTTTATATTTTGATGTGCAAGAGGTAAATATTTCAGTACCCATTCTTTCTCCCTTCATATATTATAATTATTTTATAACTGCTCTTGTTTTTATAACAAAGAAAAGGGGGAAGAAGACACTTTCCAACACTTTCCCCATAAGTCACCATTCTCTTCAGGCTATCAGTTGAGTAGGAGGAATTGTTTCTGGTTTGGTTCATTTATATTTTTAAAGATAGTTACAGTCTTAAGAGATGGTCTCTTGATTGGTTAGTACTAAGGAACATTCTCCAGACTTGAACATGCTGGTCTCCAAATTTGAGTAAGCTTGTCATGGCATCAAATAATATTATTAGGGAAGTAAAATATTTATATCTGTCTAATCTTAATACTTTCCAGTGGCTGGAGTTTGTTCTGTTTACCAAATTCACTTATCTAACTTCTAAAAGGAATTGGCAGAAGACTGTTAACATAAATACTTGAGTATCACAGTGCTATAATATAGAAAAATGTTTCTTTGTTCTATTAATGTGATGTTTTAGCCTGTTGAATGTGTCAAAACCACATTTCTTAAGTCAGTTCTGACTTCCTGTATAGTATGTTAAATTATTTTTGGGTTTGCCTGCAAACGTTTGAGTTTATTTTTAGTGCCTTTTTTTGAGTTTTTGTTCATCTTCATAACATGTATGTTTACTAAAATAACTCTTCCCTACCAAGGTATGAAGAAGAAAAGTTTAAAAAGAAACAGAAAAGGTATATGCACACCTTGACTGGGTTGCATCTAGACTAGTCCATTTGCATTGCACAGACTAACTCTTCCTTATTGGTTGGTTAGCTCGTAGACAAAGATAATAGCATTTGTAAATATAAATATACCCCAGGATTCAAATGTAGAGTGAATCCAAAGTTCCTGATGCTGAGTATGGCTTGGATTCACTCTGTTTTAACACCATAATAATGCCAGTTACAAAATAAAGACCACACCTCCTCCTCCCTGCTTTTGGTATAAATACTGACAGTAAATTCCTAAGAATAATACTATTTGGAAAACCAATTATTTATAATACCTTACCAGTTTCACCATACTTTAAATCTCTAACTTGCGCTTTTGAAATATTTGTGCACTTTTTTAATGTATCAGTTTTCCCCCCTGGGGTTGATGATTATATTTGCAATGCACATGTTCTTTGGCTAACCAACATTGATTTTCTTGTATGCTTAAATGGCCTGCTAACTAGTCAAATTCTACATGTGATAAAATACCTAAAAGTTCAATGTACCATTTAATAGTTAAACACTCTGCTTTCCATCTTTAATTTAATTTTGAATACTTCCGCTTTGAGCATAACAAACTGTCATCTGTTAATATCTTTGCATAGAAGATGAAAGGCAAGTGTATAAAATAGTTACCATTTTATATAGTAATTTAGAAAATTATAGGATTTAGATCTAACTTGTTAATGGATTTTTAAAATATTAACAACTAAATTAGCAAAACAGATTGATACAGTCTCATAAGAGTGAAGGTGAGAGATTTGTATGTAGTTATCATTTGGACCATTGTAAGGAACTGGAGCTGGAATATTCTTAACTTTGAACACATTTTGGCTCTGTTGATGAGCAAGAATTCAGTTGACCATGTGATAGAGTCATAGCTTTACATTTCTATGTGACACTTTACAGCTAAACATTTTAAGATAGAGATAAGGACAGTGATTTTAAATCTTGCTAATTTCTCGTTCCTCTCAAGACATTGGTGTGAATTTGCCAGACCAGAGGCTGAAGTTTAAAATGTAGTCTATAATTGTAGAGTATTTTGAAGCCAGCTGCTTCATGGATTTCAAAATGAATTGCCTTTGTTGATGAAATCTGCTATGTTGTGCCTTTTTACAAAATTCTTAGTTAAGTAACTTAGGCATCAGAAAAAAAGTAGAATTGTACTTTTTATTTAAATGTATTGTTTGAAACCTACCAATATTATTTTATCTTGATTTTTTTTTATTTTCGTTTCATTTAATCTTAAATAGAATCATTACATATATCCTTTAGGCACTTCTGAGTTTTTGTACAGAGTTTCTTTAGCCTTGAAAAATAATAAATCCTTGTCAGCTTGAAAAGGGTAACACTCACGTTTTAAAAATAGAAGGGCATGTTTTTAAACCCAAGTTAACAGAAACTGCATGGGGGAGCTTATTACCCAAGGTGAAATTTCTATGAGTACTGGTGATAAGGATTCAAAACTGAGTGTGCTGAAATATAGCAGTTTTAAATGTTTTAGACGTTTGTTTCAAATAACTCAGTGCAAGTGTAGCCAGGTAGATGTTGATTGTTAAAATATTTGAACAGAGTTTAAAAATAAAGTGATTATGAAATTAGTTCATACCGATATTTCACATGTTGAAAAAATTGATGTGTTTTGCATGCCTTATCAAGAATATGTACCTTTCAGATTTTTGTTACCAATATAAAAAGTATTTTAAAATGTTGTTAATCTGGCTTTACCACAGGCCAAGGCTTTTAGGTCTGACTCACTAATGTTCAGGTGATTGTAGTAATGGAAACAAGTGTGAAAAGTATCTTCATATATCATACCAAGTTGTTTTAAACTCTCCTCCATCAGTGATTCAAACTACTACAAATATAAATATACAAATATAATAGTAAGAGATTGTTGTACATTATCTGTGAAGGGTTGTCTATAATTTTGGTGTGGTAATTACATAATTCTTCTAATCCCCGCTTGCCTAAATTTTGATGTGATCTCTATGCATCCCACTCCTGATCCAGTCATATTTTTAATCTACATCTAGATACTTCTGATTATTAAGTTCTGTGGCTTCTTACTATCAAGATAAATAAAAAGTATTCACATTCTAAGTGTACCAATAAATTTTGGAGAATAATTATGGCATCCATAAATATGTACTTTTACCACTGAACTTAAAAGTTGATCAGTTGATGGCATTAGTGGCATTTAAATATTTCAGTTAACAACATCATTTTTGAGGGAATTATTTTTCCTGCCACTCAGATCACTTAGCTCCCTGCCTCAGCCATGCTACAGTTCAGCATTTTAATATGCCTGTTGTAATTTGAACTTTTAATAAAGTTTATATGCATTTGTATATAAAGTATCTTACAGTCTTAAAAAAAAAAAACAATAATCACATTCTTGCCAGTGTCCTCTTGCCTTTAAAAATTATCTTTCCTGGTTGGGAAAATGTTTGGTAACCTTTTTACTATGTCTGCTTCTTTGCAAAGCTTTGTTTATAACAGAATAATAATCTATGGTAAAATCAGCCATTATTTTTAGAAAGAGAATTGTTCATTTGCTGAAATCTTATTATCTATATTGTTTTTCATTAAATAGAGTTGATCAAGAGCTTAATGGAAAACAAGATGAACCGAAAAGTGAACAGTAAGTTTGGCATCTAGTCCAAACACTGAAGAATGTGCTGATGAAGCAGTGCTTTTTTGCATTTATAATGCATTTATTGGTCCTGATTTTTATGTAACCTGTTACAAAACTGACTTGACTTTTTCTTAATGGACTTTTGTATAAGGGACTGTTCACTGCTGTACTGGTTTGCAGATCTCTTGAATTTAGCTCTTTACTAGCTAATTATATTGTAATCATTTTATATTTTATATTGCTAAATAGCAGAGAACCACACTTTATATAAAGCAGTTTTTGCATTTGTTTATTAAATGATGCATTTTCTTCAGTAAAATATTTATATGCCTAAATGGAAAAGGAAAGAGATAATATATATTTTTATGTTTTTGAGCAGTATTTTTTAATGTATACCTTTCTTATGGAAGAATATGCAGGTAAATAAGACCATGATTTTGTAAAGTGCATGTTAAAATATTTGTTTTTGTAAATGGTTAAATACACTTCCTGGGTCACTTAGAAAATATGCTCATAAGGTGAGGGACAGTTAAACTGGTTCTCATGAATACCCAAAGGTCATATACATAATCTAAGTAGATTAGTACCATTCTGAGTTTTTTTCTCACTTAACATTTATTTCTTAATTCAGACACAAATACAAGTGTATTGCACACTTTTTTTTTTAAACATAAAGACAAGTCAAGAAGCCATTTTTAGAATTAGAGAATTTAAGAGGTTAAGAATTGGGGCTTGTATATATGTATATATCAGACATTTTATCTTCTGGCCAAAAGTCAGAACTTCATAAAAATTGTAGGTTTGTTCACTAATGTGAAATAAGCTGTGTGTCCAGGGTATCACTCTGCTGAATTTGTGTGAGTGCAGTGTAATATTCAGAGAATGTGATGAGTTATTCACTGTCACTACTTTTCTTTAGAAAATAGGGGCTGCTTTTTTAACTACTTTCAATGTGGGCACTTTACCAAAATACTTTCGTATCAGGTGTTTGACCCAGTCAGATAAGGTGTGTTTTCCCATTTTCTGTTGAATTATGTTGACAGTACTGTAAATTAAGTTACTTTGTAAGTCTTAGAGCATCATCATATTATGGTGTTTTGCGTTTGGTGTAAGCATATGAACTCCTTGTTTAATTTGGTAAGTACCTTGACTCTGCATTGAAATTGTATTTATGCCCCAGATAGAACTTAATTACCCACAAAATCATTCAAAAACAACAGGTTGGTCTAATACTGTGTCATATACTTGTGTGGCTTATACATTTGGTAAACTTAGTACCTGCCTGATTTAAGGGTCACACCACACTCCAGCCCTTCTTATAAGGTAATTTACAAAAGAGTAGTAAAGTTGAAGTGCAGGAGCTAAACCTCTAGGATTTATTCTATCCTAGACTGGCTTTTATCATTGCTGTTTTTAGTGTAAAGTTTTCTATTACAAAAGAGAATTTCCTTTACTTTTTGTCCTCCTCAGTCATACACTTGACACAGTAACCCAAGTCCAATTATGGCAGATGCTGGAGGATTCCCAGGATGAGACTTTCTTTAGCAGCCTCCTGACTTCACTTGGATCCAGCTGCTGTAGGCAGATCCTGAACTAAACTAATGTCATTATAGTCAATAAAGCTAAAACCATTATTGCTTGCTCAGATCTTAGAAATACTTTGTGTTCAAAAAGCAAATTAACAGTAACAGTTTAGGCATTCCTTCTGAATTTACGAATAAAAGATCATATTGAATTTAATTGTGATTAGAGTCTATATTTGTAGAGTGCTTTAAGTGACCTTTCATCAGTAAAAGTAGTCTTTCATCTATAAATTTGTGTCTCAGTCAAACCTGGCTGAGCTTTTTAAATAGGTGGCTTTCCTCCACATTAAGTACCCAGTTCTTCAGTTTCAACACATTACTGTTTATTGACTTTCGCATTTGCAAGCATTGTCCCTGATTATAGATATAACTCGTTGCAAAAGTGGTGCATTTTCCTACATATTTTTTTAAAGTAGAGATAGCCTGTATTCTATCAGAACATTAAAATTTAGAGGGAACAGTGATACCATTTGGGATATAACCAAAGGGATGTGCTGTGAATCACTAGATTTAGAAGAATACCTGTTCTAACCTATACCTTGATGAAATCTGGTATAGGGACATGCCCCGTAATGTTTCATAGCTGTGAGACTTAAGATCATAACAAGTAGGTCAGAGGAAAAGCATTTATTAAACTGGTTATTTGTAATTACTAGCTATGTGACATTTTCCCCATATCATTCAGTTTTAATTTTCCATTAGTGATTGAGGTGAAAGTACATATAATTGTGTTATTTTATCTTTCTGCTGGGATCATGGTTGTAACTTGTTTAATTTGATGCTTATGCCACTATTTTTTGTTGTGTTTAGGTTCTGAGTGCTTCTTTTTAGTCAAAAGTTTCTTTTATAAAGTAATCTGATTGTGTTCTCCTTGGTCATATTCCTTATTAGCACCAAGGGAAGATACTATATTGATCCCACAGTTTAAGCTTAATAGTCTTTAACTGGAGGTGGGGGGAGTATAAAGAAATATGATTCCAAGTAGGGCCTAGCAGGACCTGGAAAGGAAGATAACAAAACAAGGAAGTAAGAGAAAGAAAACTATAAAGGGATAATGAGTTAGCTAAGATTCCACTGAATGTGTCCTTGTTAAGGGGAGTGCTGTATATGGCAGCGGTTGGTACCATTTCTTGTATCAATCAGGAAAACCTGCAGGCTACATACAGAATATGTGAATAAGACTGTGGAGTGAAGGGGGCAAAGGCTGGTAATACTTACAATGAAAATTCATATTTTCCTCTGCTTTGTCTCTTCATACAAAAGCAAGTTTAAACAGGGAGGGTCAGCAATTACAATGCTCAGATTAAAGTGTAGGGTTACGTTACTTTTGACATTCATAGCTGGTAAACATTTAATGTATTGTTCCAAAATGGACATCACTCTTTAGTAACTATACTGAATACTGAAATTTGCTGATTGACAGGTATATATAGGTTGCTAGACTTTCTTCAACTGCAATTCCAGAATTTAAAAAGGTAAGGAATCTGCTTTTTTGAGAGTCTTCTTTTAAATGACTGTGTTACTCTGGCTGTTTTTACGTGATTGCTCAGGGAATTTGAAAGTGTTTGAATTAAAGGAGAAGGGGCTTTTTAGATTTCTTCAATTGATAGTTAAAAATTAGCATTAGGATATGTCCAGTTTCCTAATGAGATTGGTAAAGTTGTATATAAGGTGACAGTAGCTTCGTCCTTTTCCCCATGTGATATGTGGAAAATTGCTAACATTGCTCCTACAGGAGGAGGAGGAAATAGACTGAAAATAGGTAGATATGGCTACCACATTCTGTTTTGTTTTCATGCCTATTTTTTCTCATCCTGTATAGCTATTTGAGAAGTGGATCACAAATGTCAGAAGGGTGGGATAGCTAGAGGAATTAATGTACTTAAAAGTTAGACCAACTATTCCGTTACAGTTTATCTTGTAGGAACAGGGATTGTGTAATTTGAGTTGCTGGGAGAAAGAGTTAAGGACTTAGACTTGCATTAAGAAGGTCAGCTGGTAAGAGAAGTGGGAGATTCTCAATGTTCTAATAGTAAGGAAGAATTACCTGGAGAGTCTTTCATCCCCCTCTTCCCATCCCAAGATTCAGAATGAATTAGAATCATATCAGTGGTGAGTCCCAGTAATGTGATCCTTTAAAATTCTCAATGGTAATTGAAAATAATGTGTTGACCAGCAAGGAGTGACACTAAAATTTGAACAGAACTGTTACTTTGTTGCAGCTATATATGATAGATCTACTTAATTTCTTATGTTTTGAGAACTACTTTTATGAAAAGTTTACATGAAGCACTTAATATAACATAACACATCAAACACCAGAAGAAAATCAAAGTTTAATGCTTTCATGTTACTAAAGAATTATTATAATATCTGTCTAATTCTATTTTATAAGACATTCTACAAGAGGTTAAAACATTTGCATTTTGAAATTTTTATGCGTTTTCACATTCAGTGTAGCTAAGGAGGAACTTGGAAAATAATGTTAATTAGCTACTCTACTGCACTTTTTGTATTTGAATTTTCTGAAGTTATGTCCCTTAAACAGTTTATTTACATAAACTAGCTAGTAAATATTTGTGGTGTTCAGGGCACTGACTTGCACAGCCCTTGGGGCACATGGAACACAATTCAGAGTTCGTTAGACACTAATGCACTTTGATATATATTTCAAAGATTAATACATTTTTCTTACCATAAATTCACATGCTGTCATTTAGACACAGTTAATGTACTGTGATCATTTTATCACTGTTCAGATAATGTTGCATAGCCTAGTGCTCTCCTTTTACAGTGAGAGAAATTCAGTTCTGAAGACTGTGTGTGCAAGATGTTGATGTGCTCCCTGTAAGAAATACTAAGGTTGGTCTTGATTTACTAAGAAGATGTAATATTTTCTTTTTCTCTGACTTGTTAGGAATACAATAACTTGTGTCCTGATTTGTTGCACATCGTATTTTTGCAACGTTAATGAATTTAAATAAATTAATTGGAAAGTTTTGGTTTTGACTCACTTGTCACATTTTTCTGTCTCCCATTTCACTACTGAATTTTTACAAAGTTTATCTTGTAAGTTTATCTTTTCAAATAGTTTTAAACCTTTTGTTTCTGTAGTTTGGGTGCTGCTTCCTATTCAAGGGGGTGAAGAGTTCATCCTGCTTCAATTTTAAACATTATCTTAACTATAAGCACACTTTGTATTTCATAGTTTAGAATTATTTTAGTTATGGGGAATCCACCAATGAAATCAGTTCAATAAGTGGCTGAAAACATGGCATAAAAAAATAACCTGTTTACTCTATGGACCTGCGCAGAGGTTCAAGTTGGTTGCAGTTGTTTTGCATTTACTCCTCAATCACTGTTCAACTGCTTAACGGCAAACAGCTGTGCACATTACTGCTGCCTTTAATCCAGTTAGGATACCGTTTGGGATTACGTAAACGCAAATACAAACTGAAGTATTTGTCTTGCATTAAGCAAAAATTTTAAATACAGATTCTCCCGAATTGAAATTCTGTGATTCACAAACTAAACGCTTGCAGAGTTAAATGAATTGCCGCCCTGTTTCGTTAAGAAATACTTGGCTATAAACTTTTCAGAATTTGGCTTCAATTCTGTATTACTGGGTCTTCAACAGTATTACGCTGAACACACTTGCGGCATAAAATGTGACTGCCTTACATTTTCTGATTGTGCGTCTAACAGTGGAGAGAAGTCTGTAAAACTGTAATTCTCTTATTAACGATTTACTGAATCTGGTGAATTACTTGGGAGCTAAACCTGTTTAGCGGTCTGAGGCTTGAAAGCTGCGGCCCCACGCTCCTCTCGCCACATCCCTCCCCTCTCACAAGACGAGTGGCTGGCGGGAGCAGGAATGGGCGGGGCTCACGGGCCTACGTCATTTCCAGCTTCTGCGAGTGCTTCCGGGACGTCGACCCAGCGCTGCTTTATCTGCGGCGGAACGAGAGGTACTCTGGCGAAGTAGGTATCTCTTCCTCGGTTCTTGGCCGAACCACTTCTGTTGCCTCCGAGGCGGAAAGCGCCTTTTCCACAGGTACTGGGTGAGCCTGCCCGCGCTCCCTGCCACCATTCAGAGCAGTCATTGCGTCCGTTGGGTCTTCTGCGAGGGCCTTTTCGGCCTGGGTTCGGCCCGTTACCGACTTCGCTGCCGGGATGGCCTCGCGGCGCTTCCCGGGGTGGGAAGGGAAGGAAAGGGAGGCGGCCGGGAGGCGGCTTGTTGTACTCGGAGCGCCCTGTGAACAGTCCGGAGGGTGGGGGTTTGGGGGGCAGGGGTCCTCAGCCCAGCACCGTATTTTTAGCCAGATGAAAGTCTTAAAGCTTACATGGTGATTTTCCCCCACAGTATCGGGGCGGGCTTGCGGGGGCGGGCGGCCCGTTTCTTAAGTGTCTCATTCTTGTGTGTCTTCGGTGCTTGAAGTCCGCTTTCCAACCTCATGTGAACTCGTACCGGAATGAATTTAAACTGGATGGTTTGCTCAAGAAAGACCAGGACTGTGAGGTTACTTCCGGATGTGGAGCCTTCTACTTCAATTTTCTAAACTGCAAAATGGAGTAGTACTAAATTTACGTGGCTCATACCACATCTGAAAGAATTAAACATTTCACAAGGAATTTTTAGATATCTGAGATTATTAAAGCAAGTAATTTAAACAAACATTTAAATAACATAGCTATTTCTAAAATTATTTTTTATTGAGGTATAATTGACATATAACTTAACTACATTACTTTCAGGTGTACAGCATAATGATTCAATGTTTGTACACCTTGTGAAAAGATCACCACAATAAGTCTAGTTAACAACCGTCACCAAACATAGTTGAAAAAAAATTTTTTTTCATGTGATGAGGACTTTTAAGATCTACTCTCTTAGCAACTTTCAAATATGCAATGCAGTATTAGTAACTCTGGTCACGATCCTGTGCATTATATCCCCATGACTTACTTATTTTATAATTGTAAGTTTGTAGTTTCACCCATCCTTTTCCCCAACCCCCAATCTTCTGTCTATGAGCTTAATTTTCTTCTCTTTTGTTTTTTAGTTTCCACATGTAAGTGAGATCATGTGGTGTTTTTTTTCTCTGACTTATTTCACTTGGTGTAATGACCTCAAAGCCCATTCACATTGTCCCAAATGGCAGGATTTCATTTTTCTAAATGTCTGAATAATATTCCATTGTATATACCGCATTGTTTTTATCCACTTATCCCTGGATGGACACTTTGATTGTTTGTGTATCTTGGCTATTGTAAATAATGCAGTGAAAGAAAAATGCATGTATCTTCTTGGGTTTTTTTTTGGGGGGGGAGATATAGTTGATTTACAGTGTTATGTTAGTTTTAGGTGTACAGCAAAGTGAATCAGTTAGACATATATCCACTTCTTTTTTTTTTAAGATTCTTTTCCCATATAGGTCATTACAGAGTATTGAGTAGAGTTCCCTGTACTTTACAGTAGGTCCTTACTAGTTACCTGTTTTATATATAGTAGTATGTATATGTCAATCCCAATGTCCCAATTTATCCCCCCGCTTTTCCCCCGGTAACCATAAATTTGTTTTCTACATCTGTGACTCTGTTTCTGTTTTGTAAATAAGTTCATTTGTACCATTTTTGGAGATTCCACATATAAGTGATACCATATGATATTTGTCGTTGTCTGACTTACTTCACTCAGTATGACAATCTCTGGGTCCATCCATGTTGCTGCAAATGGCATTATTTCATTCTTTTTTTTTTTAATCTTTATTGGAGTATAATTGCTTTACAATGATGTGTTAGTTTCTGCTTTATAACAAAGTGAATCAGTTATACATATGTTCCCATATCTCTTCCCTCTTGCGTCTGCCTCCCTCACACCCTCCCTGTCCCACCCCTCTAGGTGGTCACAAAGCACTGAGCTGATCTCCCTGTGCTATGCGGCTGCTTCCCACTGGCTATCTATTTTACGTTTGGTAGTGTATATATGTCCATGCCACTCTCTCACTTTGTCACAGCTTACCCTTCCCCCTCCCCATATGCTCAAGTCCATTCTCTGGTAGGTCTGTGTCTTTATTCCTGTCTTACCCCTAGGTTCTTCATGACATTTTTTTTCTTAAATTCCATACACACGTGTTAGCATACGGTATTTGTCTTTCTCTTTCTGACTTACTTCACTCTGTATGACACACTCTAGGTCCATCCACCTCATTACAAATAGCTCAATTTCGTTTCTTTTTATGGCTGAGTAGTATTCCATTGTATATATGTGCCACATCTTCTTTACCCATTCATCCGATGATGGACACTTAGGTGTTTCCATCTCCGGGCTATTGTAAATAGAGCTGCAGTGAACATTTTGGTACATGACTCTTTTTGAATTATGGTTTTCTCAGGGTATATGCCCAGTAGTGGGATTGCTGGATCATATGGTAGTTCTATTTTTAGTTTTTTAAGGAACCTCCATACTGTTCTCCATAGTGACTGTACCAATTCACATTCCCACCAGCAGTGCAAGAGTGTTCCCTTTTCTCCACACCGTCTCCAGCATTTATTGTTTGTAGATTTTTTGATGATGGCCATTCTGCCCGGTGTGAGATAATATCTTATTGTAGTTTTGACTTGCATTTCTCTAATGATTAATGATGTTGAACATTCTTGTGTTTGTTGGCAGTCTGTATATCTTCTTTGGAGAAATGTCTATTTAGGTCTTCTGCCCATTTTTGGATTGAGTTGTTTGTTTTTCTGTTATTGAGCTGCATGAGCTACTTGTAAATTTTGGAGATTAATCCTTGTCAGTTGCTTCATTTGCAAATATTTTCTCCCATTCTGAGCGTTGTCTTTTGGTTTTGTTTATGGTTTCCTTTGCTGTGCAAAAGCTTTGAAGTTTCATTACGTCCCATTTGTTTATTTTTGTTTTTATTTCCATTTCTCTAGGAGGTGGGTCAAAAAGGATCTTGCTGTGATTTATGTCATAGAGTGTTCTGCCTATGTTTTCCTCTAAGAGTTTGATAGTGTCTGGCCTTACATTTAGGTCTTTAATCCCTTTTGAGCTTATTTTTGTCTATGGTGTTAGGGAGTGATCTAATCTCAAACTTGTACATGTACCTGTCCAGTTTTCCCAGAACCACTTATTGAAGAGGCTGTCCTTTCTCCACTGTACATTCCTGCCTCCTTTATCAAAGCTAACGTGACCATAGGTGCGTGGGTTTATCTCTGGGCTTTCTATCGTGGTCCATTGATCTATCTTTCTGTTTTTGTACCAGTACCATACTGTCTTGATTACTGTAGCTTTGTAGTATAGTCTGAAGTCAGGGAGCCTGATTCCTCCAGCTCCGTTTTTCGTTCTCAAGATTGCTTTGGCTATTCGGGGTCTTTTGTGTTTCCATACAAATTGTGAAATTTTTTGTTCTAGTTCTGTGAAAAATGTCAGTGGTAGTTTGATAGGGATTGCATTGAATCAGTCGATTGCTCTGGGTAGTAGAGTCATTTTCACAATGTTGATTCTTCCAATCCAAACACATGGTATATATCTCCATCTATTTGTATCATCTTTAATTTCTTTCATCAGTGCCTTATAATTTTCTGCATACAGGTCTTTTGTCTCCTTAAGTAGGTTTATTCCTAGATATTTTATTCTTTTTGTTGCAGTGATAAAAGGGAGTGTTTTCTTGATTTCACTTTCAGATTTTTCATCATTAGTGTATAGGAATGCCACAGATTTCTGTGCATTAATTTTGTATCCTGCTACTTTACCAAATTCATTGATTAGCTCTAGTAGTTTTCCGGTAGCATCTTTAGGATTCTCTATGTATAGTATCATGTCATCTGCAATCAGTGACAGCTTTACTTCTTCTTTTCCGATTTGGATTCCTTTTATTTCCTTTTCTTCTCTGATTGCTGTGGCTAAAACTTTCAAAACTATGTTGAATAAGAGTGGTGAGAGTGGGCAACCTTGTCTTGTTCCTGATCTTAGTGGAAATTGTTTCCGTTTTTCACCATTGAGGATGATGTTGGCTGTGGGTTTGTCATATATGGCCTTTATTATGTTGAGGAAAGTTCCCTCTATGCCTCCTTTCTGGAGGCTTTTTATCATAAATGGGTGTTGAATTTTGTCGAAAGTTTTCTCTGCATCTATTGAGATGACCATATGGTTTTTCTCCTTCAGTTTGTTAATATGGTGTATCACATTGATTGATTTGCGTATATTGAAGAATCCTTGCATTCCTGGAATAAACGCCACTTGATCATGGTGTATGATCCTTTTAATGTGCTGTTGGATTCTGTTTGCTAGTATTTTGTTGAGGATTTTTGCATCTATGTTTATCAGTGATATTGGCCTGTAGTTTTCTTTCTTTGTGACATCCTTGTCTGGTGTTGGTATCAGGGTGATGGTGGCCTCGTAGAATGAATTTGGGTGTGTTCCTCCCTCTGCTATATTTTGGAAGAGTTTGAGAAGGCTAGGTGTTAGCTCTTCTCTAAATGTTTGATAGAATTCGCCTCTGAAGCCATCTGGTCCTGGGCTTTTGTTTGTTAGAAGATTTTTAATCACAGTTTCAATTTCAGTGCTTGTGATTGGTCTGTTCATATTTTCTATTTCTTCCTGATTCAGTCTTGGCAGGTTGTGCATTTCTAAGAATTTGTCCATTTCTTCCAGGTTGTCCATTTTATTGGCATAGAGTTGCTTGTAGTAATCTCTCATGATCTTTTGTATTTCTGCAGTGTCAGTTGTTACTTCTCCTTTTTTATTTCTAATTCTATTGATTTGAGTCTTCTCCCTTTTTTTCTTGATGAGTCTGGCTAATGGTTTATCAATTTTGCTTATCTTCTCAAAGAACCAGCTTTTTTATTGATCTTTGGTATCGTTTCCTTCATTTCTGAACTGATCTTTATGATTTCTTTCCTTCTGCTAACTTTGGGGTTTTTTTGTTCTTCTTTCTCTAATTGCTTTAGGTGCAAGCTTAGGTTGTTTATTCGAGATGTTTCCTGTTTATTAAGGTAGGATTGTATTGCTGTAAACTTCTGTCTTAGAACTGCTTTTGCTGCATCCCATAG